TTTGCTTTCTCGTTCGTTATTGTAGATTTAGCGAGAATTTAGGTTAGGGTCGGTTAGGTTAGGTTAAATCGTTTAATTATCAGTTGAAATAAATTAGGGTGTGTAATCTTCATGTAGTGTCTCGTTCGTTGCTGTAAATTTAAAGAGAATTTAGGTCTTGTGTTACGTGATTCATCTTTGTTCTATGGAAGAATAAACTACACTTAGACTTTATTTAATCCACAACTGCTCAGGTGCCTCACACACTCCTATTCAACTAATAAACTTCATTATACTTCATTATACACCATTATACCACATTATACTCCATTATACTACATTTACTACATTATACTCCATTATACTACATTTACTACATTATACTTCATAATACTACTTTATACACCATTATACTCCATTATACTACATTATACACCATTATACTACATTATACTCCATTTTACTACATTATATTCCATTATACTCCATTATACTCCATTATACACCATTATACTCCATTATACACCATTATACTACGTTTTACTCCATTTTACTACATTATATTCCATTATACTCCATTATACTCCATTATACACCATTATACTACATTATACACCATTATACTACATTATACACCATTATACTCCATTATACTACATTATGCTACGTTATACACCATTATACTACATTATACTCCATTATTCACCATTATACTACATTATATTTCATTATACTCCATTATACTCAAGTATACACCATTATACTACATTATATTCCATTATACTACATTATACTCCATTATACTACATTATACACCATTATACTACATTATACACCATTATACACCATTATACTACATTATACACCATTACAGTATACTACATTATGCGTCATTATACAACATTATACACCATTATACTCCATTATAACACATTATACACCATTATACTACATTGTACTCCACTATACACCATTATACTACATTATACACCATTATACTACATTATACTCCAATATACACCATTATACTACATTATACACCATTATACTACATTATACACCATTATACTACATTATACTCCAATATACTCCATTATACTACATTATACACCATTATACTACATTATACTCCAATATACTCCATTATACTACATTATACACCATTATACTACATTATACTCGTGATAGTGTGGTGAAGTATCATCATGAGTCAAAGTAATTTAATCTAACCTACCAAGCTAACTAACCTAACCTAATTAATCCTAACTTAACTTAAACCTAAGCTACCTTAGCCTAACCTATCCAGCTAATATAACTTAATGTAACTTAACCCAATCTAACCAAACCTACTTAATTCAACCTAAACTATCAAGATAACCTAACTGATCCTAACCTACTTGACTGACTTAATAAACAAACCTTAACTATCTAACTCACCTTAACTTAACCTAACTTTACCTGACTTAACCACATAAAAAATCCTCCCTGTGATATAATTATAAACACTAAGGAAATTATGATATTTTAAATGTGTTAAACTTAGAATGATTTCAAGGGCTCAGACAGGATTCAAAACCCGCTTCGTAAGATGTCAGAACCAAACCGGGTTATAATTAATGTAAAAATAATCCCAATAATCCAAGTATGAATCCTGGGGTTAACACACACACCAGAGGATCCTGTTCTCAGATCTTATCCAATGCTGATGAGAACATGGATGAACTGAATGGATTAAGACTCGGTATTGAGGCTTCACGTGTCATGCGGCTTCGAATCCTCTCTGAAGGACAAGACTGTAGCTTCACCCGCAGAGCAGACACGATACTAGGAGTTGTTTAACATTACATCACTCTAAGTTTAGTTATCTGGTTGCTAGGTTCTGGCTTCACTTATCACGGGTTCGTATCTCCTTTCCATTCCCGAAGACTAAAAAAAACACACACACACAAAAATACAAACACGATCACACGCAATAATATCCATGAAGCATCGCCAATATCACTCGAGTGTGAATTAGAATAGAATGAGGGTGGCATAGTGTGTGTGTGTGTGTGTGTGGTGTAGTGTGAGATGTGAGATGGTGGTTGTGGTGGTGGAGGAGACGTGAGAGAGCATTAATAGGGCAGTAGGCTATTATAGGGTATTAGTGGTTGTCAAGTGTAGTGCTAGTAGTGGTGGCTAGCCGGGAGGAGGAGGAGGAAGAGGAAGAGGAGGAGGGAGGTGAGGAGGATCTTGTTGACCTACATCCTCACAATACACTTACTCTCTTCCTTTTATCCTCACAAGTTCACAACACACTCATCCTCCTCATGCCCTCACAACACACTTATCCTCCTCATGCCCTCACAACACACTTATCCTCCTCATGCCCTCACAACACACTCATCCTCCTGATATCCTCACAACACACTTATCCTCCTCATGCCCTCACAACACACTTATCCTCCTCATGCCCTCACAACACACTCATCCTCCTCATGCCCTCACAACACACTTATCCTCCTCATGCCCTCACAACACACTTATCCTCCTCATGCCCTCACAACACACTCATCCTCCTGATATCCTCACAACACACTTATCCTCCTCATGCCCTCACAACACACTCATCCTCCACACATCCTCCTGTCGTCCTTCATACCCTGTCACGTTAAGTAAGATGGGATTAGGTTAGGTTAGCCTTAGCGATCTAAAGTGAGGTTAGGTTAGGTTGGCTAAGGTCACGTCACGTTAGGTTAGGCCAGATCAAATTATTTAGGCTTGGTCAGGTAAGGTTAGGTTAGACTTGGCTATACTAGGTTAGCTAGCTCAGATTAGGCTTGGCTAGCTCAAATTAGACTAGCCTAGGTCAGATTAAAACCAAATTAAGCTAGGTTAAGTCAACTTCGATTAGGTTCTGGCAGCTCTTAAACACTTGATTGTGTCTGAGAGCCCCTGAGTGAGTTAAAACCCAACTCACGACTCGGGTTCTGAGAGCTCCTCAAGTCAAGTCTTCCCCCGTCGCTTTACATACAAGGACGCGTCTTATTGGCTCACTGAAGCTGTCCCAAGAAAGTGATATCCAAAATGGCGTTGAAAATGAACCGAGGCTTTACGGTAAATTATTGATGTATTTTTGTAAACTTAATTAGAAATGAAAAATTAGAATGTTTGTGTAATTTGGACCCCAAGACCTCCCTATTCTTAAAAGACACACACACACACACACACACACACACACACACACTAGCTAATAATTAACCACCATATTGCATGAGGGGGAGGAGGGGTGGCCTACCTATAAGAGAGGGTACAGCCGACATTCTTCAGTAATTACAAGGTCGTGATCGGGGTTTGCAGACAGACAGTGTAGCTCACCGTGATGTAGGGGTGACACAGGTCTAGTACAGGAGAGATTTTACTTGTATCTATGGATTCAATACATTACAAAGTTGCATCTTAGTTGTGAATATTTAAGGTAATTAGTCATGCGAAGTATTTAAATTACATGGGTTTTCTCTCCCCAGGTTTTTTTTTTGTACCAGGATCAATTTAATGGTTCATAGTTGATATGATTGCAGTGATTTTTACCGTCTTTTGTACACAAACAACCTCGTGACACCTATGAACATGACCTTAAGATGGGGAGCAGTAAGACCCAGCCCGACACAGATAATTGGTGCTGTTGGAGGTATTATTTGTATCGAGTAGCCAAAAGATCAAGGCTGTATCGTGTTGATGGTACTGTACAGATCAGCTCCTGATTGGGTTATGGTGTAGTTTAAGAATGTGAGTCACCTGTGAGTCACTACCTTACCTTAATTAAAGCTCTAGGCAGGTTTTAAAGAAGTTAAGTTATAGATAAACTGTTACCTGTCACTCATTATCTTTACTTAGCTTCTAATCCCCTTAAATGAGGATATGACAGCGTATTGAATATTATAAGATACGATACAATACGATGACCCAGAACGCCATGAAACTACCGTAGGTATAGATGTGTTGTCATAGCCACGTAAGAACTACAAATGGCACGACTATTAGAGAATTTGGCCCCGGATGAGAGAGACGAGGAGAGTAATATAAAGTAAACGAGGAAACTGGATCACAATATCTTCTAAATTTATCCTCAAATTTGACAGGAAATGAAAGAAAGAGACAAAATAGGAAAGGAAAGTCGAATAAAAAGTTTAATCGTATCACTGAACGTAGGACGTCCCTGAAGGCTGATTGGTGGTCTGGGATTGGTTACCTGGGGCTGCCCGCTCTTGTTTTGATTGGTCCAGAAGATTAAGGTGATCGATAACTTGTTTAACAACTAATGAGGAAAGCTGTTAATTCCTCTTCTTAATATTGGGAATAATTAACAACTTTCATATTGGTTTGAGGGATATTAATTGAGTGTGTGTGTGTGTGTGTGTGTGTGTGTGTGTGTGTGTGTGTGTGTGTGTGTGTGTGTGTGTGTGTATGTGTGTGGGTTCTACTACTGCTTCAGCATTTCTCATCATCTACTGTTCTTTCTGCTGACAATTTTGCCGTGACTCTCTCTCTACGAGGTTTGTTAAGTAATTACTAGTTATAAGACTCATTTATAACTTAAGACACCAAACGGAAATTACTTTACCTGAACTGGATCACCTGAAGATTAGACACCCCAGATTATTTGACCTGGTGAGTAAACACCTAAGGGGTTAGGTTGGGTTAGGTTAGGTTAGATTAAATTAAATTAAGCTTGGTTAGAGTAAGCTAGGTTAGATTATGTTAGGTTAGATTATAATTAAGTTAGGTTAGGTTAGGTTAGATTAAATTAAATTAAGCTTGGTTAGATTAAGCTAGGTTAGATCATGTTAGGTTAGATTATAATTAAGTTAGGTTAGGTTAGATTAGATTAGGCTAGTTAAGTCAAGTTAAAGTATATTAGCTTGATCCTTGTGTTGTGAGGAAAAAGGAGTTGGTGAGGATGAAATTCATACGAGGAGTCTTTAAGACGTGGATGAACCTCAAGGGCGTGGGTGAGTCTTGAGGGGCCCTGGGTGTGAACCTTAAGGGGCGTGGGTGAGTCTTGAGGGGCCCTGGGTGTGAACCTCAAGGGGCGTGGGTGAGTCTTGAGGGGCCCTGGGTGTGAACCTTAAGGCGTGGGTGAGTCTTGAGGGGCCCTGGGTGTGAACCTGGGGCGTGGGTGAGTCTTGAGGGGCCCTGGGTGTGAACCTTAAGGGCGTGGGTGAGTCTTGAGGGGCCCTGGGTGTGAACCTTAGGGCGTGGGTGAGTCTTGAGGGCCCTGGGTGTGGGTGGCGTGGGTGAGTCTTGAGGGGCCCTGGGTGTGAACCTAAGGGCGTGGGTGAGTCTTGAGGGGCCCTGGGTGTGAAGGGCAAGGTGTGAATGAACCTGAAGAGGGAAGTGTGAACCTTAAGAGGCGTGGGTGAGTCTTGAGGGGCCCTTGTGGTCCCTGGGTGTGAACCGGGTCTTGGGGTGGGAGTCTTGAGGGCCCTGGGTGTGAACCTCAAGGGCGTGGGTGAGTCTTGAGGGGCCCTGGGTGTGAACCTCAAGGGGCGTGGGTGAGTCTTGAGGGGCCCTGGGTGTGAACCTTAAGGGCGTGGGTGAGTATTCTAAATGAGTCTTAGGGACGTGGGTGAGTCATGTAGATGAGTCTTAAGGGGCGTGGGTGAGTCTTCTAGATGAGTCTTAAGGGGCGTGGGTGAGCCTTAAGGAACGTGGGTGGGTCGTCAACCTTGCAGCGTCACTCCACTTCAATTTCGTGTGTTGGTCTTGCCCAAGTTAGCCATCATCGACCGTCGTTGCCTCATCTTGGTGGGGTCTTACGGGATCCAATTTAGTCTTCGGTCTACAGTCCTCCTCGTATACGTAGAGATTAAAAGCCTGATGTCATTATTTTTTTCTTAACTGGTGATCGTGTTGAGCAAACCGGTGGAAGAAACGAAAAAAAAAGCGAAATAAAATATCTCTTATCTGCTAAATATAGACAATATTCCAGAGTTGGAGGAGAGTGAGGGCCACTTATATTGTGTCAACACGGGGAAGAATCAGACCCCTACCTACCACCCAACCCACCTATACCTCTCTCCCCCTCTCCCCCTCTCTCTCTCTCTCCACCTCTCCTTCTCCCCTCCTTGTGTGGGTAAGGCTAGACTCAGGGGGACACAAAAGAGATCAGAGAGAAATCGATTTATTCCTTACGTGTTGTATAGATGGATATTTTTTTTTTGTTCTTTGTAGCGCACTTCACTCCTTCCAAACAGTAAACATTACCTCCGCTCGGACAGTAAACATTACCTCCGCTCGGACAGTAAACATTACCTCCGCTCGGACAGTAAACATTACCTCCGCTCGGACAGTAAACATTACCTCCGCTCGGTCGATTTAGAGACTCTGCCACCCTATGATCTTAATAGTGGAACCTTACGTAAAAAAAAAATAATAATAATAAATACTAAAATTGTTATCTGTAAGACACGATGCGTAACTATAGCAGAGACTGAAGAATGGTACGTGAAAATAATCTATCTATAAGCGGGATGTTATGTCTCTAGATGGGCTATTACTTAATACATGTTTTCTTTTCTTAAGGAGTGCACATCTCTCTCTCTCTCTCTATCGTCCCTCCCCACTATCTATCTATCTATCTATCTATCTATCTATCTATCTATCTATCTTCCTCCTCTCTCTCTCTCTCTACACTCAAGGTCCAGGGCTTCGATTCTCAAGGGTTCGTCTGCAGATGATTTGCTCACTAAATGGGAATGAGAGAATAATGCATTTAATTATCTCACTTAAACTCCTCTTCCAGCCTCCTCCTCCTCCTCCTCCTCTTCTTCTTCTTCTCTCCCAGCCTCCTCCTCCTCCCCCTCTCTCAGCCTCCCAGCCTGCTCCTTCCCTTCTCTCCCAAACTCCTCTCCCTCTACCAGCCTCCTTCCCTTCTCTCCCTCCCTCCCTCCTTCCCTTTCTCCCTCCCTCCTCCTCCCTCCCCTCTTCCTCCTTTTTCCTTCCTCAGCCTCCTCCCCCTCTCCCTGCCTCCTCTTTCCCCTCTCCCAGCCCCTTTCCTTCACTCTCAACCTCCTCCAATTTTTCCTTCCCATCCTCTTTCTCTTCCCTTATCTCCCAGTTTCCTTCTTCCCTTCTCCCAGCACCTATCACCTGTTTCTCTCCCACGTGTCTCGCTGACCCATCCACCAGCATCATCAGTCTTCTCCAGGGTCTGTATTTTCAACGTATCGTAACATAGATAGATACAGTAGATAGATAAATACATACATGCATACATAATAATAATAATGGTTGCTCCTCGTGTAATGAGGATGGCCGGCCCAAGGGTCACCTAGGCGTGAATTTGTTTAAGATGTAGAAGCTGTCGCCAACATAACAACCACGCATACATACATACATACATACGTACATACATACATACATACATACATACATACATACATACATAAATAAATATATACATACAACAACTTCAATAAATCGTATGCAAGAGATGAAGGAACACCCCAAACTTATCGATTTAAATAACATCAAAGTCATACATAAACTTCTACCTTAACCAGACACCTTTAACTTAGCACTAGTTAGGGGGTTTAAATAAACAACAGAATCTATGTTAAGTTTGTCCTCATAACTGAAGTAAAGTGAATGTGTCTAGTCAAGGTAGAATCTCTGGGTGATTTGGCCGACATTTTGGAAAGGGTTATTTGTGTTTTAGTGTTAGTATGGGAATCGGTCTTACGTGTCCAGTTACGATATATTTTTTTACCTTACGAACTTTTTGAGAATTGGAGACCCTGATATCCCTAAGGTTCTCACTTACTGTTGGTATCTAATGTAGAATGCGGGAGTCATTCTATTTCTTTCTTTCTTTCTTTCTTTCTCAATTTAGTTGTTTCTTTTCGTATATCGCTTTCTTTCTCTATTTCTCTCTGTCTTCTTTCTCGCTCTCTCTCTCACACACGCACACACACACACACACATACACACACACACACACACACACACACACATACACACACGCACACATAAATAATAATGGTTGCCCCTCGTGTAATGAGGATGGCCGGCCCAAGGGCCACCTACGCGTGAATTTGTTTAAGGTGTAGAAGCTGTCGCCAACATAACAACCACACCTCGAGTTAACCAGTTGCATGACCCCGTGTCAAGGAATAGTCCGAGAAGACTGGACAACTCGTCAATTGCACTGTCTAACTATTACCCCGGAATACGATCCGCAAATCAATTAACATACAGGTTCCCAATTACTGACAGAGGCAAATGGCGTAAAGAAACTTGCCCATAGTTTCACCCTGCCCGGGGATCGAACTCGGTCCTCTCGCTTGCGAAGCGAAAATGCTGACCATTACACCACACACACACACACACACGCGTAGCGTTGTACGTGCCTAGGAATTAATGGATATCAGTTCCCCCCTCAGTCAACACATTTACACTACCCTCGTGCACACCTTCTTGATGACCGGATTATTGCTGTGTATTGTCAGTGAGAGAGAGAGAGAGAGAGATGGTAGACTGTGTTAGAATACAAAATTAACGCCCCTGCTCTCTCTCTCTCTCTCTCTCTCTCTCTCTCAGTGCTAACAGAAGGAGAATAGAATATAAAGGAAGAGGTCGGGAACTCCGGCAAATAAAGAAGAGCAGGACTCTCAACCCCCCCCCCCCCCCCGGTGGAGGTTCATTGTGTGTGACAAAGGACAACCAGACCTCCCTCCTGGTGTCCTGTTGGTGCGTCCTGCGAGTGTCCTAGTTGCTGTTCTCTCCTGTTCCATTGAATGTCCTAGTTGTTGTCCTGTTCTATTGAGTTGTCCTTCCCAGTTGGTGTGTGTCCTGTTGATGTGTCCATTGAGTGAGTGTCGTAGTTGGTGTCGTGTTGATCGTCTTAGTTGACATGTGTTACAGTGAGGTCCACCCACGATACGTTTATGAAAGATACGCCAGACGGAGTTTACTTTGAAAACAGTGACAACATGAGCGATCAAGAGCGCCTGTTGTTTCTCCATACTGCGCCAGACGTATTTTTGACTGTCTTCTTCAAGCGTTGGCGATCATTTCTGGCACTGGTATTACGTATGAATTGTAGGATTCAGTTAGTAACTGAAATTACTTGAAAGTAATAATAAGAGCAGAGGAATTCAGAGTGTTAGGTTTGGTTAGGATGGCTTTGGTTAGGTTAGGTTAAGTTAAGTTAGGTAGAGTTTGGTTAGGTTTGGTTTAGTTTGCTTTGGTTAGATTAAGTTAGAATTTGAAGGATTCCGAGCCTTTAACAGGTCCTTGGCAGGGGAGGAAGGGAGTGTCATAGTCTCTTACATGTAATAATTGGAATGTTAAGAGGGTGTAAGCGTTAGTGGGGTCGACACATCAGTGACAACATTAGCAGTGTTTAATAGATGGTAGGGAGGAAGACGAGGGTAGTAGTAGTCTGTTGAGTGACTGTAATTAGTTGTTAAAGTGTGACAAGCCTCAGGTGGTCATGAGAGGCTTATAAACATGAGCGAGAGTCTCTTGAGTTGAGACATTTTGAGTACCTCATCGACGTAACTCGTTAAAGCCGAGGGAGGAAAGCTGGTACTCCTTCACCCACTCACTGTCAGTATTCTGTCTCTTTTGTTTCTTAAGGGGTTCATGGTCAGTGATCATTATCTGGATGTGAGTCGTTATCTGGCTACTGAGGAATATTGGGTCAGCATATAGTGTTCTCCTGAAGATTTATTTTATTATTATTATTTTTTTTTTTTTTTGAGAAGATGACGTGAGGGAGCTGAAGGGTTTGACTGGAGGAAGGAAGAGGGCGTCCCTACTTTCTGCTACCTCAAGTACTTTACCTCTGTCTATACGTAGAACAATGATGCCATATCAGTATGTGTCTGGTGTCGTCTGGGATGTGTGTGGGTCTCTGTCTGTATACCTGCTTGTCTCTCTGTCTATCCACATGAATGATGTGAGTTGGATAAGTATTCTGTCCTCAATCCAATGTTGGTGAAGCTTAGTGGGACTGTTGTTGACGTAAGAACTCACTTAGGTTGTGCCTGGACGGTCGCTGACTGTATGGTATTTCTAGAATGTATTAAAAATGCCACGGTGACGGTGAGACGCACACACAAACAATTTATTCATAATACTTGCTCAGACACACAGAGAAGCAATTTCCTACAACTGACCCAAATTTATCATCAAATCATTCACCTAAAATGACTTAAACTGGATGTACTTACAAGATATAAAGTCGTACAGTTCTACACAATAATGTGGCTACACTAGCTAACGAGGTTTATGGTGCAACGCCTTTATTAACTCCCCTTCGAGGAGCCTGAATCCTCCACACTCTTGAAGACACGAGCAATATATTGATTTTTTTCTTCCCCGCAAGCGAGCAACAGAAAATTTTGGTTCTTACGGCAGAGTCTCGGTTCAGTGTCCGCGGCAGTTGATCCTTTATTTTTGTGTCTTGGCTAAATCTGAGTCAGTTATGTGCGTTTTTACATATACGAGTCTTTGAGAACTCAGACCCAACGACACACTCTGCTGGTCCCTGATTCTCATATACAGTATACTGTGTAGGTTCTTACGTCGAGTCTTCTCTTCAGGAGTGCGGACGGTTGTGATTGCTTCACTTGAGTTTTGACACAACTCTCTTCCTTCCCAAAGTTGGTATTGAAATGAAATTGGGATTGAAACAGATTATTTAGCCAGATGGTTACAGATACAAAGTGAAGGGCAACAACATTACTGACATGGCTGAAGTTACATAAATAAATACAATATATACGATAATAATTACAATAATAATAATAATATTAATAATAATAATAATAATAATAATAAAAATAATAATAAAATGTTTCCAAAATAGGATACGTATACAATTTTACTTAGGATAACAATGTATATATATATATATATATATATATATATATATATATATATATATATATATATATAATATTCTCATACTCATAAGCTCAATAAACACGTGACAGCTTATATATATATATATATATATATATATATATATATATATATATATATATATATATATATATATATATATATATATATATATATATATATATATATATGCTCACAGTACAAGAAGCGAGGTGTGCTCAAGTTGTGTTTTCATGTGTCTGGGACTCTGGGAAGATGTTGAGGACGGTAGTCACGTTATGTTTAGTACACAGAGATGATTATTTTAAGTTATATTAGGATGTATGTATGTATGTATGTGTGTGTGTGTGTACGTGTGTGTGTGTGTGTGTGTGTGTGTGTGTGTGTGTGTGTGGTGAAGGAAGAGCCCTGAAATTGACATGAGGTAAACAGTAGAGGTAAACATTAGGGCGGGGTGACATGGAACAGGTGTGTGGGAAGGAGGTAGTGATGGTAGACACGGCGAGGGAAGCCTACCTGTGGCTCCTGTGCACTTACCAGGTCGACACTCCCTCCCTCCCGCCCTCCTTCACCACACTTGTAAGGTTGCATGACGCCCTACTATTACCGCCACCTTCCGTCTTCCTACTTTCTATCATCTCATGATTCATGGTTGGATTGATAAATACACCTTGTCAGCGTTATCTCTCGTCTACCACAACCTTCACTTAGTCACTCATTGCCTACTGTACAATGGTGGTGGAATTAGCTGCCATATCTAATCTGGGTTGTTCCATGTCCACTGTTACCAGAAGCTTCCTGCATCTGAAGCTAGAATTAAAATATATATATTCCTCGTCGGTGTTATTCCTGACCAATGAGCCAAAGGTTTCTATATAGCCTTCTCACCTGTCACTTATTTCCTTCTGTAAAATGAAGATAGGAATAAAACTATATCTGGTCCTCAAACTACTGTACGTTGAGGGATATGGTGGTATCACACGTGTCCTCTCAGTTCTCGTCCGTGGCTTGTCCTTGGTGTAAAGACGATAATTCATAGAGTGGACAAATTGTTTTGAAACTTGGAGGAGATCGATAATAATTGTCATGATTCGATTAATATTAGCGATTTGACTGCCATTTTTTCTTTCACGAGAGTGGCTCCCACACGCCATAATGGCCGGTTAGGGACAGCCACAGCTCATTATACACAAGGAGGAAGTGTGGTCGTTACTGCGCTCGAACGCCATCACTGGAACCTTTAAGACCTCCGCATCACCTTTCTTTCATAAATCATCCATAAACAGCATCAGTACCTAGTGTAAGGCTGTAGAGGTTTAACACGTCATTAATGTTTTACTCTGATGAAGGTGTTCCGTGGTATATTACGTGCTGGACTTCGAGCACACACATACACGCGTCCTTAACACTTGTGGTGAGGACGCCGTACATGTGCTGTGTTGTGTGTGTGTGTGTCTCTGTCTTTTTATCAGTACTTTAATTTGTAAAGGATGACTTAGGAAGGTCGAGATTGTGCAGGAATAGATCTTTACTATAGTTATTCTTTATAGGATTAGAGTAGACGGTTGCCTATTGTTGCGTGTTTTCGTTTACATAATACCTTTGATTGAGTGCTATATATTTATTTAACGTCAAAATGTGAAAAGCGTGTAATAAATCGTCTGCGTGTTTGTCCCTCTCTGTGATTACCATAAATCATGATGAACTTGTAACGTAACATAACACGAAGACTGTCACATAGTTAGTAATTACAGTATATTACAACGTAACAAGGATATTGTCACATAGATTCACTGACTATTTGAGTTTTATAGTTGATACGGTCAGGTGGTCAATTAGTTTATCGCGGTGAGGGGTGTGGGTGTAGGGTGAGGGTGTGGGGTGTAAGGTGTGGGGTGTGTGAGGGCTGGAGGATGTGGATGAGGGGTGTAGGGTGTGGGTGTAGGGTGAGGGTGTGGGGTGTAGGGTGTGGGATGTGTGAGGGCTGGAGGGTGTGGATGAGGGGTGTAGGGTGTGGGTGTAGGGTGAGGGTGTGGGTGTAGGGTGAGGGTAAGGACTGGAGGGCGTGGGTAAGGGCTGGAAAGTATTTAGAAAGGGCTGCAAGGTGTGGATAAGGGCTGGAGGGTGTGTGTAAGGGCTGGACAGTGTGGGTAAGACCTGCACAAATGTGTATGGTTGCGCCACTTCTAACCGGATTTCCTGTCGTGTTGTCCATAAAGCTTCTTAACTCCTGCCATCTCTCCTGCAGGTGTTGGTAATGATAATACTGAGACCATTACTACATTTACTCACTCACCCTCATACGTGTACACAGGATAAAGGTTATTAACATGTACTGTACAGGTTATCTTGTGTGTGACTGGAAACGTTATTAATTTAGGTGGCTTTTGGTGCTAATATATATGTTTGGACTTCTATAACCATACATGGCATTTTGATTTTCCCGATGCTTGTCCAGTCGTCTCTTGAAGATGAGTATGTTTGTAGATGTGTCCACCAACCAAGCTAAGTCGCCTCACTGTACAGCTCACACAACTTGGCATCCAGAAATTTTGGTTCAGGTTGTTGTGTGTTCGCGTGTTTTGTGTCTGGTGTAGAAACTAAGTGTTACGGTACTGAACAATAATGAATAACTCTGACAGTTGAAGTATTTAAAACAACGACGACAACTGTTCCTGTATAACTTGAGAATGTAGTTGTTTGCAATATACAGATGTAGTGAACGGTGCTTAATTACCCTGCCAGGTGAAGGACCTTCAAGAAAACACTTCAAACTGTCTGTACAAACTCCCGAACCGACATTGACTTGTGGATCTAGATTCTCAAACACTCGCACGATGAGTATTTCTTGTAAGGGAATATTCAACAGTGCACCTAATCACTTACGGTAAAACACAAAGACAGTTTCCAGTAACGTCCACAGTACTTCAAAAGTTTGCCGTTACTTGCGACCTTAACTTTAGTATTGGTCAATTAGGAGACAGAATTGCGGTACATAATCGTGGAAGAGATCCTATAGTTTGTCTAAATACTCTTTTGAAGTTAAGGTAGAGTCTCAGTTCAAGTTTGATGCCATTTTTGGTTGCTATATTCGTGTTTTAGATTAAGTCAACCAGTCAGGTACGTATAGACAAGTTCACATCTTCCGCCATAAGAATGTAGGTCCTGGACAATATCATTTCTTAAATTTAATGTACTTTTATATTCTTGTTTACTCGTGATATTAATAAAGTATTCTTCACGCTCATTCCACCTCTGTCACCCTCGGCCAAACTCGTCACCATTGTAACGTTCCCGGCTTTTATATTTGGGAGATTTTTTTTTTCAGCGGGTGAGTCATTGTCAGAAACTTAATATATCGTAAAGTCATATATCAATGTTGATGCTTTTATTAAACTCTCTCGGATATAAATGTTTCATCCCGGACATGTGTGGTAACTTGATTTATTTATTTACAATTAGACTACGTACATACAGATTACAGTAATGTAATGTACAATACATAGACGGTGAAAGTATATAAACAATAAGCATTGACAGTACAAATATACAAATATACAAATAATGTACATAAACGGTGCAGGTAAACATACAATGATAAATAGTAATTCGATTCGACCAATGATTACCCAGACAAAGTCATCATAAACTTATTTCCATTAGGTGCTCCCGTGAGAGAGACGTCCATTAGGTGGCCTAAGCCCCCGCAAGAGCCTCGAACACTTGTCCTGAACACTTGTCCTGTTGTTGGA